CTCTCAAAACAACCACTTTTGTCTTGCATGTTATGCATATCTATGTGCGTGATTAGTTTGTAAAAATGTAGGGCTATATATACACTTATAATTAATTATGAATTGCAATACATACAAGAATATATATAGTATAATATATCTTAATTACCCTGCATACATGCATGTCTATCGATCGGTTTGGAACTTGTGGGCTTGTTTGACAGAGCTTTAGCTTTAGCTCCATCTTTTATGAAGTTAAAGTCTAATCAAACGGTTTTAGTTTTTCACACAAAAGAAGTGGAGCTAACTGAAGTGATATGAAAAAAAATGAATTAGAGAAGTATAGTAGTTTTTTTTTTGTGCTGCGTTGCAATGCAATGCATAAATGCTTTTTGGTGCGCTTAACTTAATTAGCTAAAAAGGAGTATTTAACTAGCCTGAGAAAGAAGATTAGGGCGTCGACTCATCATCAGTAGAGCTGGTAGCTAGAGTACTACACACTGCACTCTACAGCAGCTTAGCTACATTGCTCCTAGCTACAGTAGCTAGCTAAGCTAGCTTTAGTTAATTAATTAGGCGCACTCCAAGCTATAGCTAATTAAGTAATTAGGGGAAACCGCGTACACCCTGCACATGCTAGGTGCATGCGAATTAAGTAAGCTAAGCGCGTTAATTCGCTGAACCTTATTAGCTTTGTCACGTATGCGCGCGACACTGTAATTAGCATGTGCTCGCGCCGTTCGCATCGATATAATTACGAACCCTAGCTACGTGTAGGCTCTGGCGATTAGCGTGAGATTAATTAGTTAATTAATTATCACCGGTGACAAGATGGTTAACTGGATCGCTTGATGCCAAATCCACAACCAACAGGATATACTACTAGCTTATGAAACTTGCACTGTTACTAATATATCCCCCCATGTTAATTAGTTGTTAATTAATAAGTATATTTGATTAGGCAAATGAGAAGGGGAAAAAATAAAGCTAGTGGACGCAAAGAGCTGGCCTTGGGCAGTGTGAGATCATCAGAACCGAGATGAGAGGAGGCTGGAGAGTTCGTACTTTGTGTTTTCTAGTGCTTGCTGATGGGAGGCAGCACAGTGACTTGCCAACTCAAAGTTTTTAATTAGTAGTAGTAATTTTATTTATATATAGGACCATAGTGTTATTAATTTTTTTTTCATTTCTATCTGTGTGTCTTTCTTTGTTGCTAAATGCTATACTCCTCATCAGACTCAGTGCAAAGTACTGTGCAAGAAGAGTAAGCTATAGCAACAGGTCAAAAGTTTGACACTGTTAATCAAGCATGTAGTGTTGTGTTATTTCCAGTAATTATAGTGGCATGAAGCAGTTAGCGTGATTAATTAATTACTGAGGGAAGATGCTTGAGGTGAATGGATGGATGGATCGATTGGTGGCAATGGGCATGCATGCACGGGGCTCAAGTAGATGCAGACACACGGGAGCTTCCAAGAGATGTGTACATGCATGTCGCATATATGCAGGTTCTTCAGCTAGCTGTTCATCAGTGGCTGCAAGCTGCTATAGCTGCTGCTGCACTTGCATACTACTACAGCTGCTACACCTAAGCACTAGCAGAGCGAGGCATATGCGGCGAGTCAGTCTGCTGCATACTACAACTCTGATTTCTGATCGATCTACCTATATGTCCTTCTTATATTCAGCTCGAATTATTAGTGTACTGTACTTCATATCTTTCATAATTGACGAACTCGATCGATCGATCGAGATCGACCGATCCATCGTCCATCGTTCATCTCTGCAATAGTCTCTGCAAAGCCGCATGCATGACCTAGCTAGCTAGCAGGTTAATTAGCTAGGTTTGGTACATTTGTGCTATGCATGGTCCTCCTCCTCCTCCATCTGACAGTGTACGTGAATGTTGCCAGATCACAACACAAGATCCAATTCAGAGTTAGAATCCGGACAGTACTGCACATATACGAAACATATCCCGTCTTCCATGCGTGATCGATCCATTGATTTTGATCGTAAATTTGAAGTTAGTTAGTACTCGTAAACGTGAAGGCAAAGGTATTCAACTAATTAGCAAAATTGGCTTAATTAAGCATCACATCGATCGTATCTATCTCTCTCCTTTGCTAATTACTGATATATCACGCGAAGTGCACGAAAGGAACGGGAGTGATCTAAATGCTGACAAAATCATGGCATTGCATCGACAGTGTGATCATGATGTCAGTGTATATTATGCGTGTAATTACTTGATTAATTAATTGCTTGATTGATTTAATATTCCTTGATGCTTCTTTCGTTTTGTCGGCTAGCTTGTCCCTTTCTCTTTTTAGCGCAAATTACGGCCTCTTGCTTTGCTAGCTGTTTGCATTTGTGAGAAGTTCTGTAATTAATATTGCTCTTACTAATTATGTACTACGCGACACTGCCATTAATTCTTCAAATGTTCATACCGAGTATGATTAATTAGACTGGATTTTATCCCTTATAGACCGTATCCTACGCACAATGCAAACAGATTAATTATTACTCCTAAATTACATGAATGGATCATGTGTAGAGGCTTAACACAGTAAACGAATTGTCGCATCTATTCGAAGAGCATTGAGCGTGCATTAGTAGTGCAATGATATGTAGGTAATGGTATCTAGCTAGGCTTTGAAAGAACCATCAAAAGATAATTATAAATTATTAGTAAGAGACACTAAACCTTCCAAATCCAACCATCTATTCGTCCCTAATTAACCTATACCTACCTACCTAGCTTCTAGACTCTAATTACTGTTGTAAGATTTCATTCACCACACAAAATCTTGTGCATGAATCATGATAGCGACGAATTCTAATTATAATTATATATCCCAGCTAATACAGTGCTTAATCTGCAAGGAAGATGCATGCACACGTCTTACTGAAATTTGGTGATAGATGATGCATGTCATCTATCTCGTCGTCTTCTCTGAACAATAATCCAACTGCTCCTCTCCTCCTTTTTTTTTCACGAAGAAATTATTAACAGTCTGAAGATTTTGCGTGGTTGATCAACCGGACAGTAGTGTGTTCAGTTTCGTCAGACACACTAAGGGGATGTTTGGATCCTGCCAGATTGGATGTTTGACACTAATTAAAAGTATTAAATATAGACTAATGTCAAAACCTATTCCATAACGCGTTCGCGAAAAAAACCTATTCCATAACTCTAGACTAATTCAAGAGACGAATCTATTTAGCCTAAATAATCCATGATTAGTATATGTGATGCTACATTAAACATGTGCTAGTTATAAATTAATTAGGCTTAAAAAAATTATCTCGCAAATTTATGCAATTAGTTTTATTAGTAGTCTATGTTTAATACTTCTAATTAGTGTCAAACATCCGATGTGACATTTAGTCCATGTATCCAAACATCACCTGAGAAATCAAGATGATGTTAATTTCAATCATCTCATGATCTCGAGAGAGATATGATCGAATCGATGGATGGTATGGATCAAGGTGTCCCTGTCCCAATGATCGATTCATATATATATTATTACGGTTGCTTCTGATGATCATATGTTGACTATATGGGCTAGTAAAGATAGCATCCGACCAACTTCAATGGTTGCCAATTCGTAACGACAAGCTTAGGTTGATCCATAGCCATGGTAGGCTCCTGTGCAATGCAAGAGATGAGCAAGCAACTTTGTCCCCCAGACATCTGGGCCCTACCACCAATATATACATATCAGTCACATTGACCTATAGCTGCAAAAAGAAACTGAATATTTATTATATGTGTTCACAGTACTCTCATGAGCTAACCATATGCAACTGCTAAAACTTAGGTATTTAATAATACATATATAATCTGAAGTAGTTAATTACTGCCAATTTGACTGAAAGAAAATTAGTAAAGTGGAGAGCCCCATACAAGAAGAAGATTAGTGCGAGATCAAGTGATTAACACTTTTAATTTAAAGGGCTTTTTTTTTATTATCTTGGAGAGGCCCAAGCACCTTTGACGAGGCCCTTTTAGCTGAAAGTCCGGTGCGTCTGATTGAGCCCAGAGCCCAGTCTTAGTCTCAGCTGGTGCCGGCCGCCTTTAAATCTTTATTATTTAATTAATCACCTTGTGATGATGATGATCACCATGATGATTATGATTCCTTAATACGACCCCATGATTAGCAATGCCATATGCTTAGCACATGAACTTGAAAAGTAGGCGGCCAAAAGCCGCTGTTAATTTGTCTCTTCTACTTTGCATTTCTTAATTTCCATGTTGAACAGGCGACTGAAAGTACGTACAGAAAATTTAATACCTTAATTTAGTCGAGGATAACATTGTTAATTACAGCAATTATCTCCTTGGCTGTGTAGTGCACTAACCTGCGGTGATTACATTTTTAAACGAATATACATTGAAAATGTGAAATTTTCGTGTAAATTCAAGGTGATGTTTATATAGAATTTTCGTCCAAATTCTGGTGATGCTTATAGCTTTCCGTGGTACTGAAATCGAAAAAAGAAATGCAGTAGCTAGCATGGACGCTGTCCAGCGATTATTAATGGGCCAGAGTTAAGCCCAAATAAGGCCCACACATGGTTTCACCGTGGTATGGGCCCACGTGCAACGAAGGAGGCGGAGCGGGCCACCTTGGTTGCGCGACAAATCGGCCCACGGAAGTTAACTCTATCGGGATGAGCGGGCTTTCACCCAGAGTGGGCTACTGAGCAGTAATTGTTGGGCTGTCCAGCCCAAACAACAGCCAACAACGGCGATCTCCTCGCCCTCACCGGCGCCGGCGAGGGCGAGCTTGCTGATTGGCCACGGAGGTAATCTTTTTTTTTTCCTCAAAATCGCAAAAGAATTGTGCGCCATTTCATTAAGAAGAGAACATAGGAGGTAAAAACCTCCCCAAAGAGCCAAAGAAAAAACACACAAATAAAGAGAAAAAAACAACAAAACACACCAAGATGACACAAGACCAACAACAAAATCCCAACAAAACGGACTAAGCGATATACCACAGGTGTAAATAATTACTCGGACAGCAGCAGCCAGTAGCCCATTAATGTATTTGAGCTGTATACATAATAATTAATCCTTTGAGCTAGGTAACTCTCTGATCAGTAGCTTGATAGTCAAAGCTAATAAAGCAAGCGTGGCAAATAAGTGTGAAATTATCCAAGCACAGTTGCACACCACGCATACATAATACAACATCATCAGTAACTGGTACAAAATGTCAAGAGACAACACACGGTTTAACCGCTGGATCATAGCACACATCAAGTGGTTTGGTAAATGAAATGAAGTTCTTGCGTTGATCGATAATAATGCATGCGCATGCAGGTAAGTAACACGAGCACTGCAATTTATTCGTCGGCTTGTTATCTAGATCGAGCGATGATACGGTGTCCGGCGGCCGGCCGGCCGGCGACGAGCAGGCCGCCGGCGGCGGCGGCGGCGGCGGCGATGATATATCAACCGAGGCGCAGGTCGTGGTTGCCGCCGTAGGCCATGCCGTGCAGGTTGGGCTGGCTGGGCACCACGCGGAAGGCGAACATGTCCGCCGCCGCGCCGGCGCCGGCGCCGCCGTCCCACCCGCCGCCGGTGTTGTCCACGAACCCGAACGCCGGCTCCTCGCGCAACCCCTGAATTAATTCAAACATTCATCCAACAGTAGAGTTCAATCAAATTAGCTAGCCTGCATTGGAGAAACTAATTAACAAATAATTTTCTGGCTATAACTGAAAAAAAAATGCTTGATAGGTTACCAGCTCCTGCTGCAGAGTCTCGTACGCCTCGTAGGAGTGCTTCACCTGCATTATATGCATGCACACACCGGATCAATTAATGTAGAAACCAATCTCTATTAGCTATAGACAGACAAATTATATCATGTGCATGCATGTATAGACACAGGGTCCAGCATATGTGTGCAAGTAAAAGTAGAGTGTCACTGCAATGTGTATATATACATGTTTGCATCTTCGGACAGCATGCTATAGCACACAAGAAACAATCGTCAAGTTTATTTCTATGAACAGTCACTCACATAAAATTTAAGCAAGTTATCCTCTCCCATATCACAATGACAAAGATATATATACAGATTCAAAGTCATCTTCTAGCTAGCTCCATATCAAAGTGCAGTTCTTTGTTCAGAGTTTATACACTACTCTCTGTCAGCTCTCTCACGTAACAAGACCAAAGGAGTAGCTAATGCAGCGAAATTAAACACTTGAAGGTGATTGTGAATTTGTGATGTGCTAGCTTATACTATATGCCAACATGCATGCTTGAACTGGTTAATTTTCACCTCAGCCGACAACACAGTTAGATATGCATGAATGGTTAACAATCCCCTCGATGCAATGAATTACTTATTCAGCTACATATATATATATATATATATATATATATATATATATATATATATATATATGTTTAATTCTGACCAGCTAACCGCAGGTAAAACTACAAAACAATGAACAAAGAGTACTCCCTATTAAAGTCGATTGAATGTAAAGTCAAAAGTATTCGCTTTTGCTCGGTTGTTCAAGCTGAGTAATTAATTAGTAGTACACCCCACTAAAGATTCAGTAAGCCAGCGGCCGTAATGGTTTGGTTTCCAAATTCTTGCAAATCATAAAGCCTCAATGCCGTCCCTTATCTACCAAAAGGTATCACGCCGCGATGCAATCTCTCATAAAAATCCGTGTTTGACATGCTACTCTCCTAAATAGCCGGGGGACCAAAATAAGCATGCATGCTTCATCGTCTCTAGGTACAGCTAGTTTATATAGCTACCGATCCTGGCTTAGTTGTTTGCTTAACAGGAGATACATATACGCATATATATGCAGATACATGCCCAATTCATACTACTGTCCTTTGCTGTTTGTCATGAGTTCTAGCTTGCAAAAAAGACAGAGAAAACTGCATCGCAGATCGCATTATATTGCGTGCGTTGTTCATCATGTAATGTATAGGAATGCACATGACAATGCATGCTCCAATTAACATCGATGTACATCTACTGATGGCTATGTGTATAGCTTAGACTAGATGTGTAGATCAGGTAGCCTCGATCAAATATATTGATGTGTAGATAGTATGGAAATGCACAGACACGCATGGTAATGCACACTGTACATTAGCATGCATGTTTCGGTTGAGAGGCGTCATGGTGCTTGTCAGATCTTTTATTTTGGCTTTTGATCGATTCAAGGGCTAGCTTAGCTAGCTTCGACTGTTCAAGTACAGAAACTGGGAGATCCATGGCTATGTATATGGCTAAATTAGCACGCAATAAGGCAAAATGCAGGTTATTGGGTGAGTGCAATTTAGTTCACGGGATCAATGTATATTTTACCCGGAGGAACTTAATATCGTCAGGAAAAATGTGAACAACGTACAATCAAAGGGATAGCATATAGCTCTTCAGAAAGACATGTGAACATAGACGACACTGCAAGTGCGAACTTATTGGCCAAACTAAGCAAATTTAAGCAGTGATGGTGGCCACAAAAGTGAAGCAATTAAAGTAAGGAATTGGGGAAGATAAATATACACTTATATAGGCTTGTGCAGATATCTAGATATACCCTTATTACTGCACCAGAAGAACATACATATATATACTAATATTGCTGCATTATTAGGCATAATATTGGCAGTATTTTTTTTAAGATAATGGATTGATTAAATCCGGCCTATATATCCACAAGAGATGCACACATAGTCAACAGCTTCCAAGGGAAGGAATAAAATCCACAGTAGATGTACACCTATAGCCAACAGTTTCAAGAGGAAGGAATAAAATTGGTGGTATATATATATATATATATATATATATATATATATATATATATATATATATATATAAATTTAACCAGAAACAAATACTGAGAAAATGGGCATGGCTTATTCCTGACCTTTTTCTTGTAGGTTTCAGTCTGTGTGGTGATCACATGATACTGCAGAAATTAAAACCGAATTAATCATGAGAAAACTGAAACAAATTAAAAGGCTAGGATACATGAAGCAGAAAGTTTAATATGTTACAGTCCAATAGATCAATGAGCATACATCCTACTAGTTGTAAGATAAAACAATAGTACACATAAATTATGTTTCTATAAAGCATAAACCTTAAAATTATCTTGTTTAATACGAGCAAGCAACCGAGGCCAAATTAAAAACCATCAATATAATTTCCACACATGCAAGAAGCCAAGAAGGGTTCAAGAAACTCGTAGATCTGTAGCGAGAAGCATGAAATATGCACGGATCTGATCATGAACCGTAGATCTAGTGTGCACAAAATACAAGGATCTACCACCCTTGAATTAAGGAATTGAACGACGTTTTAGTATTGAGCAAATTAGGGTTCGTAGTTTAATTAGGGCGTGCGTGCGTGCATGCCTTCCTGTGGCGAACCTCCTTGAGGGCGGCATCGACATTTTGCTCAAGACCGCGCAGCTCGTCGAACTCCAGCCCGTCCAGATCTTCTCCCATCCTTTGCCTGCACACACGTATGGTTGTTTATATTCAGATCCAGCAGTACATATCTTGAAAAACGTTGTAAATTTGGATCTCTTGTTCAAGCTAAAATCCCCCAGTAACTATATACTAAGAGGGATTAATTAAGGAGAAGAGAGGAAAGTAATTAAAGGGGTGAAATTTGTGCTGGCCTGATCTCGGTGCGCAGGTTGCGGTTGATGTCCTTGAGATGGCTCAGCGTGCGCTGCATATTCTGATGGATGAAAACAAACCAAACCAAACCAATTAACGAGCAGAAGAGAGTTGGGACATAGAATTAAAGGAAAGAAACTGGAGTGAAAATTGAGAAGACGAATCGAGCAAAAGATGAGAAAACAAATCATAAGGAGAGAATCGAAGTGAGCAGCTTGGTTGCAGCTAGCGGAGGGGAAGAAAGGAAGAAATTAAACAAATCAACCTCATACTGCTCGATCCAAAGGCTGGTGCCGATGGCTTGCTGGTAGCGGTCAAAGATCCCCTTGATGCTGCAGCAGGATGCAATTAAGATCGATATGATGCAGTTATATATATAGTATAATCAGGATGGAGAAGATCATAGAGTCGAAGTGGAGATGGAGATACAGACTCGGTGGAAGGGCTGCAGAACTCGTGGTACTTGCCGGTGGAGGAGAACATGATGATGGCGACCTGGGCGTCGCAGAGCACGGTGAGCTCCCTGGCCTTCTTCATGATCCCCGTGCGGCGCTTCGAGTAGGTCACCTGCCTGTTGGTCGCGTTCTCGATCCGCTTGATCTCGATCTTGCCCCTCCCCATGGCCGCCCCCTGCAGCAGCTATCTCTCTCGCCGGACAATGCAGCTAGCTAGCTAGCTAGCTAGCTACTGATGGATCGATGAGTTGGGAATGAGAAGAGGAGGCGGAGGAGGAGGAGGAGGAAGAAGAGGAGTGCTTATTTGGAAAGGAAGAAAGAAGGAGAGGACATACAGCACGCCATAGACGAGACGTACGACAGCAACGGATTCCCAACTCGTGAAAGCAATCGTGCCCACTCCGTATACCGTAACGTCTCTCGGTTCGCGGAGACGGATCCTGCAGTATTTGTGGAGTTTAAAATTATGAGAAGCAGCTGATTTGTAGACAATTTATAAGAATCTAGAAAAGCTGGATTTTTCATTTTTTTGGTTTCTGATTCATTTTCTAGATTTTACAACTACAGCTTCTGAGAATATTGAAAAGCTAGGTTTTTCAGCTTCTAGCTTCTGGTTCACTTTCTGGATTCTACAACTACAACTTCTTAGAATATGAACCAAAAGATATACTGTTTGGGGGAGCTTCTAATTCTGAGAGAAGTTGCAGCAGCTAGAAGCTCTCCTAAAAATAGCCTCTATCCTGCTTGGCTGTGTCACCTACTCTCGATCGAATCACCGGCCGGCTGAGTTTCGTCTCGTCTTCTCTTGTGTGTGTGTTAGCAGCTGCATGATCGATCGACCGATTCGCTGCATGCGTGGCTGGCCGCCCAACGGTTAGCACCATTTCGGCTTTCGCTTCATCATTGCTTCTGCGCGTACATATTGCCTCGCTTTGATTCTCTTTTGGTTTGATTTCGCAAGTGTGCATGAGTCATCTTCTGTCTTTTCTTTTCTTTTGTCATACCAGCTTCTCTCTCTCGATCTGCTGATGTGCCTCTCTCTCTCTCTACTCCTTTCCTTTGCAAGCACGCACGCTTAGAAAGACGATGACAACAAAACAGACGCGAATATTAGAAAATGACATAATATCAAATAATTAGAAGGGGTGAGGTTTTGAACCCAGGCCGTCTAACCCACCATCTCGTGGAGCTGGCCAGAAGACCCCTAGGTGTTTTTAAAAGACAATGGCCCTGTTTGGATCCGGAGGGCTATTAAATAGCCCTCCGAAATCTTGCTATTTAAGAGTATTAAACTTAGAATACTGACAAAACTCATTCCATAACCCCTAGGCTATTTTGCGAAACGAATCTAACGAGGTATATTAATCCATGATTTGCTACAGTGATGCTACAGTAATCAGCCGCTAATTATGGATTAATATACATCATTAGATTCGTCTCGCAAAATAGTCTAGGGGTTATGGGATCGGTTTTGTCGGTAATCTACGTTTAATAATCCTAAATAGCAAGATTCCGGATAGCTATTTAATAGCCCGGAGGATCCAAACAAGGCCAATGACAACAAACTACCAATTACGAGCGAAGGGGAGAGCAATGTCCTGCAAGAGCAAGATGCTCGTAATCACAAGTCACAACTTCACCAATTGACCAATTACCATCTCTAGACAATCTAAGTTCCAGCCTGTGCTTCATTTTATCCCTGAACCGGGGGGACAGCAGGGTGCACCTCTTGCTACCAACTCTCATTGTCCAGCAACCAAACCAAGCTACTACGACCACTAGAAGCCTCTTCTAGTGTTACATATAGGCAGCTCGTGACTAGTCATGTCACCCCCAACGAATCAAAGGACATATGGCACCAATGGTTCGTAGTACGGCGACTTGTTTTAACCATGGATAGATGCAACCTCGCAGGTTCAGAAATGGCTATTCTACATGCTTGCTGTAACAGTTACTGATCGATCGACGTGATGGGCGACCTGTGAATCTGTGATGCCTTTGCTACGGAGGAGAGGGGATGGGCAGCTCAGTTCCATAAATGCAACGGCGACGAGGACGACACGGTCAATCATGCGCCATTGGACACAAGTGGAAAACACTCGCTGCAACTTTCTAGTCCAGGCACCACTTAATGCCCACATACTATCACTTCCAGCACTTTGTATGTGACTTGTCATTGCACAAACTACAGGGGTGAGTGACAAGAGACCTGTTTCCATCTAGGAGTACCTCCTTTTCTTTTATTACCAGCAGCAACGATACTTTTTTTTTTCTCTTCTCTTTCGTGTAGGTTTACTCCAATACTCAATGGGCATTCATATGCTTCCATTGACTAAGGTAGGAGTGCATACATATGTGATCCAAAAGAATACATATTGTTGGAAATTTTGGGCTATATATTTTGGTCAACGATGCTTACATGCACAAAGGTTTCTAGCTTGCATTCCTTGATTCATGCCAAGTATCATAGCAATTACTACATCAAGTAAAAAATTCTCCAGAAAAGAAAAATTCCAATACATATAGAGAACTTTTTACAATCCTTGAGGGGAGACATAGACCAAATCGTGGCCGTCTATTGAGCATCATCAAATGGCTGAGAATCATTTCGTATCTAGTAGCGTCGGTGCCTAGTCCCACCGGGTACCAAGCCTTCCGACACCCTATAAAGGTTATGATTAATTTTCTTTTCGCACCACCCACTCCATGTTCCTCCAATGCATTCGTCCTTAACATCCTTCCCCGACGTATCGCCGCTGTCACCTAGCGGCCATAGCGATGAGCTTAGTGCGGTGGATGCAGCAATGGACCGGCTCGATGACCTTTTGATCTCCTCCAACCCGGTACTAGCACCACAGACACGACGACCATAGGGGCGGGTGACAGAGGCCAGCGTAAATCTCTTAGAGATATTGGATGCCATGGAGACCGAGCGAAAACTAGATAGGGAAGATATATCAAGCCAAAGTTATGACCATATATAATATCATGACATAATAGTTCAACGGTTAGATTTGAATGGTAACTATACTCAATACCTTAATTACCTGGTGGTACCTCCTTAATAATGGTAAAAATCATCTTATATATATTGCTATATTGTTACCCGAACAACTCATGTACAATCTTATACCAAACTACCCTTGAAGAAGAAACTAGCTACTGCCGTGCACAATATTACCAAGCAACTCCCTAAGAAACAACCCATCCCATAGTGCAAAAACTTTATAAAAGTAGCAGTAGCCAAGCCACAGTGCGCCTTAATTTACACTAGGCAGGAGGGCACTATATGCACACCCACCTACCGTGCAATGCTTTCACCTGCTAGCCACATACATTTCAGGTATGACGCTGATGTGCCTTTCCAACGGTTGTACGAGATTGAGACGTTACAGTACACATCCTGCAATTACACTGTACTCCTACCTGCTGATGACTTTGTGTTACTGAGTATATACTTTGGTTCAGAGATGACTCTTTCAAAATGGTTTTTTTCCCTGGTCCTTGAAAGTACTTATTGAGATGTCATCCTCATATTGTATATGTATTTGTATCAAACATCAAAGTTATTCAGATTCCATCACCATCTTGTCTCATCAGAATTACATATGCATATACATTTCCTCACCAATCTATTGATGTGGAGGAGATATAATATAAGTGAAAGAGTAAAATATAATAAAAATATTCTAGTTGATTAGGGTTAGAGCATTCGTTATTTAAATCATTGCAAGGCTTAACTGTTGTATTTATCCTTAAAAACTCATCGAAGTAATATTGTTACTCTGTCTCTTAAAAGACTATAATTTAGTTTTAGAATTTATCCCACAAAGAAAGTTTTTTTAGAGTGGAGTTTTTTTTATGCAAAAGGTGGAGAGTTTACCTTGTAACCATTGGTGGTCAAGAGTTACAAGGCCAAATGGCCGAAACACAGCGGAAAACAGAAAAGAGTGATATAGAACACAAAGAAAGAAAAGGAGGCAAAAAAAAAAAAAAGGGAAAGAAAGCGAAAAAGGAAAACATGGTGATCATCGTGTGGGCTAATCCATCTTTATCGCCCAACAACAGATTTGCGCATGAATATTTGGCTTGACAAGATGCTACCAGAGCTCAACACAATCTTTGATTTGATGAGGAGGTGTACAATGTTCGTATTTCCCTCCCTGAATGTCATAGCATTTCGTGCTTTAATTTCAAAGATTGTGTGAGCATGCTGCAAAGCAGAGCCAAGTTCACTAGACTTCTTTGATATTATTTTAATATTATTTAAAAGTTTTCTTCTCATTTTAGCCGCTGAACCAGTGTGCATATCCCTCTTATTTTATCTCCGCATTTTATAAAGAGCTAGATTACTAGTATTTTAACTTTGTGCTTAATCTATCTTCGACGAGCTAGAATGATAATAGTTCTTTAAGGATGGAGGGAGTTGTAATAAATTTGTTAGCACAATATAATACTCTCGATTATAAGTCGTTTTTACTCTGGACAAAGTCAAACTGCTTTAAATTTGACTAAGTTTGTAGAAAAATAGTAATATTTTCAGGACAAGCCTACCGCTCGGGCGACCGATTTACGTGCAAAACTACTCTAAACTGATTTTTCTCCTAAATTAATTATCCAAATCATGATCCGATTGCACCATTAAATTCGTTGCAATTAAATCTTCAAAACAAGACCACACATTGATATATTCCGACAAAAAAAATTAGCTTATTATTGAATTATTTTTAAATGTTGCACGATGTTCCACCAGGCATATCGGGAATGTTTCACTAAGTAGATCGAAAATGTTTCACTCGTTTAAATCGGGTGTTGTTTCACCTTATATAAAAACAATGTTTCAGCAAATAGCGAAAGAATGTTTCAGTTCCCTGCAACATTAGATCTATATATAGTGAAACATTGTGAGTACACTATGCGAAACATTTTTGGTGGAACAAAAAATAAACTAAATTCCCTTAATAGAGAGTTTCCAAAATATGTTGATTTTTTGTTGCAAAAGAATATTTTAATTCACTGCAACATTAGATCTATAAATAGTGAAACATTGTAAGTATACTAAGTGAAACATCTTTTGTGGAAAAAAGGGAGAGAGAAGTAGGTGGGTCCAGCATATACGGACGTGGGGGAGGGGCGGTCGCTCGGAGTAGAGTATTATCGATATTTTCAACTCAAGACAAATATATTATGGAAATATATTGAACTATAGATTTAATAAAACTAACTTGGTGTTATAAACATTATTATATTTATCCACAAATTTAATTAAATTTGAAGTAGTTTAACTTTGACCAAAGTTAAAATTAACGACTTTTAATTTGAAACGGATTGAGTAGCTAGTTAAACAAAAGGAAATAGTGAAGAGAAGACGAAATGGTTGAGAAAATTAGAGAGGAATGTCAAGGAGAGACGACGACGCTTCTCCTTTGTCCCCCCGATTCTCAAGCACCCCATGCAACGCAACCCGCCGGCGAGTTGAGGCCCCACGACCACCGGCCAGGCGTGGCCCCACATGTCATCCTCACACCCGGACGCGCCCCCGCCTCGCCGGGATCACCCCACGCTCCCGGGAGCTCTGCGCATGGCGCGCCACGTCACCCACCAACACAAAGCCTAAACCCGCGCCCTCCCGCACTTTACTCGTCCTTGTCCGATCAATGGCGGGGCTTGGCCGGAGCTCGCGCGGCGCCTCCGGGAAGCGCGGCGCCGCGTCCTCCTCCTCCTCCTCGTCGGTGTCCTCCTCCTCCGCCGCCGCCTCCGCGTGCGTCTACTACGCCACCACGGCCGTGCTCGTCACGCTCTGCGTCGCCGGCGCCTACTTCCTCACGTCCGCCTCGTCGGCGTCGCTTGCGGGCTCTGTCGTCGATGGCGACGGCGGCGGCGGCGGCGGCGGCGGCGGCACCGTCACGACGACGTACCGGCACACCACGCGCTCGTCGTTCGCGTACGAGGTCAGTAGGCCCGAGAGGAAGGCGCCCCCGGCGCCGCCGCGCGATGTCGAGCGGGTCGATGACGCGGCGGCGGCGCGGGGGAGAATCGCTGACGAGGAGGGCGCCGAGGAGGAGCACGGCGATGGCGACGACGACCCGCGTGGGAAGCCCGATCTTGATGACCATGGCGCCGACGAGGAGGAGACCAAGAGCGCCGTCGCGGCCATGGACGACGCCCAGCGACGCGAGGAGGATGGCAGCGTGTCATCCAGCGAGGCCAACGCCGAAGAGGAGGAGGCGGCGGCGACGACTGGAGCGCGCCGCGTCCGCGTCGGGGAGGACGAGGAAGAAGCCGCGCGAGAAGAGAGCCAAGAGCTGCACCTGCAGATGCCGCTAGGAGAGTCTCGCCCTCGCGCCGCCGCCGCCGTGGAGGAGAAGAGCTTGGACGGCGGCGTCGAGGAGGAGAGCAACGCCGGGCAGCGGCAGCGCGAGGAGGAGCAGATCGATCATGGCGTCGACGGCGGCGCGAGCTTGCGCCGTGAAGCGCAGGAGGAAGGGCAGATCGGTGAAGGGTACGTGATGGCGGATCACGGCGAAGGCGAGGAGATGCTGCTCGAGCAGCAGCAGCAGCAACCGGAGGAGGAGCGTGGCGGCGATGCAGAGGCGGCGCGCACGTCGGAGTCCGACGCCGGCGGCGAGGTCGACCCGGAGGACAAGCCAACCGTGTCAGAGCGGACGGAGGAGATGGTCGACACGCTCCCCGGCGAGGAAGACCGCGCGGAGGTGTCCGCCACCGGCGTCGACGAGCAGAACGCGTGGGCGACGCAAGCCGATCACTCCCACCAGGAGAAAGACCGGCGCGACGAGGCGGCTGGCGTCGACGACAACATCGCCGACGCCACCGCCGGCGGCGGCGGCGGCGGCGAGGAGCCGGAGTGGCGGCTGTGCAACGTGAAGGCCGGGCCGGACTACATCCCATGCCTGGACAACGACAAGGCCATCAAGAAGCTGCGGCCGGAGAACTACCGGCGGTACGAGCACCGCGAGCGGCATTGCCCCGACGAGGGCCCGACGTGCCTCGTCCCCCTCCCCGCCGGCTACCGCCGCCCCATCGAGTGGCCCAAGAGCCGAGACAGGGTATGCACGCCACCTGTTCGATCGCCATCCATTGCTTAATTACACATTTTGCTGCTGCTTCGTGTCATGTCAATGGCGGCGGCGTGCAGGTTTGGTACAGCAATGTGCCGCACACGAAGCTGGTGGAGGTGAAGGGGCACCAGAACTGGGTGAAGGTGAGCGGGCAGTATCTGACGTTCCCCGGCGGCGGGACGCAGTTCATCCATGGCGCGCTGCACTACATCGACTTCCTGCAGCAGTCGGCGCGGGGGATCGCTTGGGGGAAGCGGACGCGGGTGGTGCTCGACGTCGGCTGCGGCGTGGCGAGCTTCGGCGGCTACCTGTTCGACCGCGACGTGGTGGCCATGTCGTTCGCGCCCAAGGACGAGCACGAGGCGCAGGTGCAGATGGCGCTGGAGCGCGGCATCCCGGCCATCTCCGCCGTCATGGGGTCCAAGCGCCTCCCCTTCCCCAGCAAGGTGTTCGACCTCGTCCACTGCGCGCGGTGCCGCGTCCCGTGGCACGCCGACGGCGGCGCCCTCCTCCTCGAGCTCAACCGCGTCCTCCGACCCGGCGGCTTCTTCGTCTGGTCGGCGACGCCCGTGTACCAGAAGCTCACCGAGGACGTCCAGATCTGGAAGGCCATGACCGCGCTCACCAAGTCCATGTGCTGGGAGCTCGTCGCCATCAAGAAGGACCGCCTCAACGGCATCGGCGCCGCCTTCTACCGCAAGCCGACCTCCAACGAGTGCTACGAGACGCGGCGGCGGCAGCAGCCTCCGATGTGCAGCGACGACGACGACGCCGACGTCGCGTGGTACATCCGCCTCAACGCCTGCATGCACCGCGTCCCCGTCGCCCCGTCCGACCGCGGCGTCGCGTGGCCGGCGGAGTGGCCGCGGCGGCTGCGCGCGCCGCCGCACTGGCTCAACGCCTCCCGCGCCGGCGTGTACGGCAAGCCGGCGCCGGAGGACTTCGCCGTGGACTACGACCACTGGCGCCGCGTCGTCGACAGGTCGTACCTCAACGGCCTCGGCATCGACTGGTCCAGGGTCAGGAACGTCATGGACATGAGAGCCACCTACGGAGGGTAGGTCACACCATCGCCATTGCTGACTTTGGTCAAACTGTTTTATATTTGACTAAATTTATAGAAAAAAATATTTTCAATCTAAAATAAATTTATTATAAAAATATATTTAATTATTGATTTAATAAAACTAACTTAATATTATAAATATTACTATATTTGACTATAAACTTACTTAGAATAGTTTAATTTTAACCAAAGTTAAAACGTCTTATAACTTATAACTTGAAATATAACTTGAAAGGCTCAAACGGTGGTAGTACTTACCACGAAGAAGAAGACTATGCTGACCTCTCCTTGTCAGGTTCGCGGCGGCCATGAGAGACCACAAGATCTGGGTGATGAACGTCGTCAATGTCGACGCGGCGGACACGCTGCCGATCATCTTCGAGCGAGGGCTGATCGGGATGTACCATGACTGGTGCGAGTCATTCAGCACCTACCCGAGGACATACGACCTCCTGCACGCCGACCGCCTCTTCTCCAAGATCAAGGAGAGGTCAGCCGCCATTGATGCTCCCTTCGATCGATCTTCTCCTATCTTTGCTTTCGCCTTCGCCATGGCCGGCGATCGATCGAGAAATGTTTTTTGGTATCTTTGTGTTCAGGTGCGCCGTGCTGCCGGTGGTGGTGGAGGTGGACAGGATCGTGAGGCCGGGGGGCAGCATCGTCGTGCGCGACGACTCCGGCGCCGTCGGCGAGGTGGAGAGGCTGCTGAGGTCGCTCCACTGGGACGTGCGGCTCACCTTCTCCAAGAACGGCGAGGCGCTGCTCTACGCCGAGAAGTCGGATTGGCGGCCGGAGTTGCTCGCCGACCCGTTGTGATGATCTCCAGCGACCGGCGCGCGGCGTGGCCATCTCATCTCAGGATGGCAAAGCAGCACTCCCCAACACAAGATTAGATAGAACTCTTCTCCTCTTTTCTTTTCTTCTTTTTTTTTGTCTTTTTTTTGTCTGCTTCTTTGATTGGTAGCACTTGACATAGTTCTGTAGTGGTTATTATCCTACAAACACAAATAATGCAGCCATCAGCAACAACAATGGTAGTATATGCATGGTTTTGTCACTGTTCTAGTATAGTATGTGTACCTTCTGAGCACTAACACAAAAGTACAGAACTGAGATGTCTGATGGCTTGGGCTCTGTTGGTAGTTTCATCAGTTTTATCCCATATTCTTAATTTGTATATTTCAAACAATTCCACGTATTAGAATTTATATGACATGATCAAACGAAACTGGTGTAAAAATGAACATGATTGTAGTGGCAACCATAGACAAGATCACAGATGACAATTTCAAGTAAAAATCCAGAACAGACCAAATCTGCACCAGCTCAACCAGCAAGCAGCTATCATTCTCATAAAAAATCGACCGTATGCGGAACATTACAATAATGCATGCAAGTATAGAATTAGTTATACACCAGTTGTTACAGATAATAAGGTGATCGTAGTAGTTGCTCAAAACATGCTAACTGAGCAACAGGTAAAAATGATTACTCAAAACTTCCTTTCTTATCAGGAAATGTGATGTTGCACTACAACAATGATGTTTCGATGTATACTGATGTAAGTTAAAACCAAGTGCTTTGTTGCTAAAATCTTGGTTGATAAATTGGTAAGCTATATGTTGAATGATCAAAATTGGAAGGTGATCATCAGGCGTTGCTTGCAGCTAGCCCATTTGATGTAGTCTGTAAAGCATTATTGTTTCTGTAAAGCGGTATTCCTCCACCAAGATCCTTCAGCCTCTTTACCATATCATGCAACCACTCGAAAGTGAGCTTGGACTGAGCATTGAGTTCCTCCCTCACTTGAGGATGCACCCTAAACCAGTCCCCTAGCATCTTGTGAACATGGGATCGAACCATTCTCCATGGAACAGGGTACTGCTCGCACAGTTTCAAATACTCAATGACTAGATCAGCCTGGTCTAAGCCACTAGCTTCATCTTCATCACCATTTTCTTTCCATTCCTTTGTCCGGAAACCAGCAAACAATGCTGGATTTTCTAGAAGAGTTTCAGCTGAAAGCACACCATCAGCACCAGTATGTTCAAGGCAATCCTTCACATCATCCAAATGGCGAATGTTTCCATTTGCAAGTACAGGTATCCTAAGAGCATCTTTGACAGCTTTAATGGCATCCCAGTCAGCTCGAAATTTCTTCCCATCCTTCTCATCTCTAGTCCGCCCATGCACAGCTACCAGAGAAGCACCAGCTTCTTCAAGCATCTTTGCGTAGGCCAGTGTGTCCTCCAGTCGCGGGAATATGCGAATCTTGCATGATACTGGAACATGGAGGTTTGCTGATAGATTCTGTACAAGGGATTTTACGAGAGGAAGGTTGTTCATGAGAAACGCACCATAGTACCCCCTTCTAGCAATGCGCTGTGGGCATCTGCAAGATTTCAGAGAGGTGGTATCGCCATTTAGAAGAGCATCCAGAACAAAACATGGTATGAAGTAATGCTTATTTATCGGGGGAACTGACATTTCAATTAACTGAGCAGAAAAGGGGGAGATCTACTAAACAGTAAAATGCCAAATAAGTCAGAGCAGAGGAAATTTTCAGCATAGAGTAGGGAATACAACATTACCCAAAATTGATATCGACATAGTCGCAGTACGGTTCCACAATCTTTGCTGCTTGTAACAAAATGTCAGGATCATTTGCACAAAACTGAACAAAAAGTGGACGGTCCTCCTGTATAACATACCACCAATTGTCACATTCTATTTTCAGTATGTTCCATAACCAATACAAAGAACGATTAATGGATTACAGAGGTAACAGGACAATAAAAGCTAGTAATTATCAAACTACTATCTAAAATAAAAGCTAATTATCAAACTACTATCTAATCCTTTGTGTAGTGATATGACAGATGTATCGCTCGGAATTTTCTCGGTAACTACGAATTATCAAAGCATCATCAAAATTATTACTCCAGTGAAGAATTAGCTTAAACTACTCCGGGCGCTCTAATTGAAGGATCCAAGAATTGAATAGAAAAGAAATCGTATAAACCAACCATCAAGGAGAATTTACCTTGCATGTGGTGAACTCCATGGCCCTGTGCTTCTCGTTCTCGGAGAAGATGCGGGAGTGGAGCATGGGCGTGTATGCCCCGGTCGCCCCGTAGCGGCGGCACAGCATGCGGAAGGGGAGCTCCGAGTTGTCCACCATGGGCGCCACCACCATCTTCGGGGAGCCCAGCCGCCTCCAGTGCGCCCACGCGCGCTCCACCCTCTCCTCCGCGGACACCGGCGGCGGAGGGGCGGGCAAGGGCGGGGCGGTCTCCTCCGCGGGCGCGACCGATTCGGTGGTGAAGCAGAGGTCCTCGTCGGGATCGGAGGCGGTGGCGAGGTGGGCGGCGGCCGGCGGCGACATGGCGGCGAGGCTAGGGTTTACGGAGCGGAGGAGGCGGCGGCGGCGCGGGTTCCGGAGGATGGGAGCGAATCGCATGCTAGTGATTTGCCTCTGGGCTCTGGTCCTGGTGTGTGGGCCCTACTTGTCAGTGGGGGAGAGACAAGATGGATTCCAGTTATATGGGCCTTTTCGGCCCATGAATATTTATCCGGCCCATGTAGAGAGTAGTAAAATTTCATCTGATCTAGTCTGAACTGAACAATTTCTGCAACACATGTCTGAACAATTTCTGAAACTGAACTGGTGTCATTTCAAAATTTCTGCAACACTTTCAATTTAGAGCCATTTCGAAAATGAAATTTGCAATTGAGTAATTATTGAACCCAACTTGGTGACAGATGTCTTGCTGAATTGGAGCTTGGAAGCATCTTGAAGAAAGAAAAGTTCATGAAAAATTGACAGTAATTCTGATGTGCTCCTTTCATACCCTTGTGGAAAATCTATATGGAGTATATGTTTAGATGATCTGGATTCTAAAGCTTACAGTTTCCAAAGCTTTTTACCAGAGACATTTATGGAAATGTTTCCTAACAAACTGGCAATAAACAGTACATCTGTACATCCTTTCTGATGATCAGCATTCACTGTTGATCAAACTGAAGTTGCAACATAATGTTCAGAGCTGTCTGGCGTCTTCTTAGGTGGGACATTCAGTTATTGGTTAGGAGATCAACTTTCTCTTTAAAAAAAGACAAGATGTCCTTTCCAGATGGGACAACCAATTAGTTTGTTTTAATTTATTTACAAGATATGTTAAAGAAAGTACTGCAATTTGCAATGTGTAGGGACTTAATTCAGCTACCAGAATTAGATAGGACAAGCAACCTGATTATTTTGTGAAAGTAATAGCCCTACCAAGATGCATTAGATGTAGAGAGCCAAGATCACAGCTGTCTGCCAAATTAACTTGTCGATCTTGTCGGATCTCACAATGGTACATCAACACCTGAAAAATATAGTTACATATTCAGAATGGTGGCTCCCGAGGTAAAATGCTTTTTTTTTTTTTGCTTTTCTTAACATATATAAGTAGCATTTTTTTTATCTCAACTGGTTGAGATGATACATGCATAATCCCTCACAATTTTAGAGTAAATTAGTCGTGAATATGATGTGTTGCCCAAGTTGCTACCTTGATTTAGATTCAGAGGATCTTGAACAATGACAACAGCAGCTACTACCCATAATTATTCCTCGGTTACTTTTTGTTTGTGGGAGATAAATAAGAATCCTTCAGCTCAGCTCCTCTTTGCCCAAATGGCCACTAGAGCTGGCTTTGCACAAATCTAATGAGTTTTAAAACCTACTTTGTGCTTGAGAATAATTCTAAAAGGCAACTTGGTGATAAACATTTTTGCTCCATCGGAACTTGGGAGCATCTTACTGACATTCCAAAAGGAAAATATGCATATAATTTTCCTTTTATGATGAAAGCAGTATGGCCAAGTTGGTACTATCAAGTATATTAATTGGAAGTTCTTATTCGAAAAAGTATATTAATGGAAGTGAATAAACAAAAGGTTCAGAAATAACTCCAGTATGCAACGCTGCTTTTGCATGTGTAGTTTGTGCAATTAATTCAACTTTAAATCAAACCATTGTCGTCAGCATCGGAGAGATCATTTTTACACCAATAAGTAGCATCAATTAGTATTATACGTGGCACATAATAATAATGTTTTATTCAAGGAATATGATTACAAAAATAAACAGTGAACTGTTCAGTCTGAAGATTGGAAGAAGGATCCAGAACAGGTGCAGATTTTTTTAGTAGAAGAGAAACTGAATTAGGGTCCTTTGAATCGCAGGGTAGAAAAAACGGAGGAATATGAAAAACACATGATTCTGACAGGAATTGAAGTGTAAAACAGAGGATTGCAAAACACAGGAAAAACACAGGAATGGTCGTTTGATTGGAGCGCAGGAAAAACGCAGGAATCAGATGAGAGAGATAGACTCAAAGGAAATTTCCAAGAGGTTGGAGCTTTTGCTAAATTTCCTCCAAAATCCACATGCAATGCGCCATTCCATAGGAATTTCATAGAATTTAGAAAGCTTCAATCCTTTAAATCAAAGGGCCAAATAGGAAAATTTCCTATAGAATTTGAATTCTATGAAATTCCTACATAAATTCTTTGATTTAAAGGGGCCTTAGCTTTTGAAGTGGCATGCATGTGCTTAGAAATGACATCTACCAATCTCTGTTGCATCACAGACCATTAGTGGTAATTGAGACAGAAAATCCAAGAACATTTCTCCACGAAAACAAGTATCTACCATTCTACTCCAGGTTAGAGCCATCAGGCTATATGCACAGTACAGTCGAGCTTGACACTAGTTGCAATTAACAATTGCATCACCTCATTAAGACAGTTTGGTTCCAGAAAAAAATAATAATTAAGATTCAACAAAAAAACAATTAAGAGAAACTCCTTTTCGATCAATGCATGCATCATTCTTCAGAAAATGATTAATGATATAATACTATATAATCTTAGTATGCATCAACTGGGTGTGGTTTGAGCTGGAACTAATCAATTAAGGATGAGATAGTACTCCCTCCGTATTTTAATATATGACGCTGTTGACTTTTCGACTAACGTTTAAATATTTGTTTTATTCAAAATTTTTGTGCAAATATAAAAATATTGATGTCATGGTTAAAGAATATTTGATGACGAATCAAGTCATAATAAAATAAATGATAATTATATAATTTTTTTAAATAAGACGAATAGTCAAATGTTGAAAAAAAAGTCAATGGTATTATATATTAAAATATGGAAGGAGTAGTAGCTTGGCTAGCTAAGAAAAGAAAGAGAAGAGCCTAATCGTGAAGCCAATCCATCCCTATCTGGCTTAATTAAAACTGGTTGAAAAAAAAAAGAAGAAAAAAAACGCTGGAGCGTGTGCCGCGTGGTGACAGTGACCGCCTGATCTTGGGCTTGATCGCCGGCGATGAGTGGCCGGGAAAGCGCCGGAGATCACCTCACGCTTTTGGGTTCGTGACCGGCGGTGAGAGCGATCGAAATGAGGCGGCCGAAACGTAACTGTGCTACTGCCTGGCTACCAATTAAGGCCGTGTTTAGTTCACATCAAAATTGAAAGTGCGGTTGAAATTGAAACGATGTGATGAAAAAGTTGTAAATTTGTGTGTATAGAAAAGTTTTGATGTGATGAAAAAGTTGAAAGTTTAAAGAATAACTTTGGAATGTAAGCTGCATTTGGGCATGGAAGTGAGCAAGCCCGGTGCCACTTCCACCTGCCAAACTGCATGCACATTGCAAAGAGAAGCTTCTGGAATTCGGAAACAGTTGCTACTACCAGCTTCGAAATGCTTGGCACAACATGCAGTTTCTTTTAAAAGAGAATAATGGAATCTATTTCAGGCTTTGCTTTAAAATGCTACGGCAAATTATACAGAGGTTCTAGGTCGTCGAACGACTACGAAATACAAAATCACCGTTTTGTTAAAAACAAGAAAACTAATATAAATACTCGAGTAAAGTTATATTGAACATCTATTGCTAAACTTTTATCTATGGACTATTATATGGTTGATGAGAATCTGCATTAATTACCGTTGATTTGTTCAGCGGTTTGCAAGTTCTATATAATCCTTGCGTTCCTACAAAATATCTTAGTAATACTAGTCTCTGTGCTAGTATTTCAGTGATTCATGATATATTGAAGATGATGGTTACCGAGTTAAAGGCATCTTTTTTGCCAAAAGGAGACTCTCAAGAAGGTCAAGAAATAAAGTTACCATCAGCTGTGTACTAAAAGAAAATTAAATCTCTTTCAGGTTGGCCTGCATGTATATATATCTTAGAAACTTGAACAAAGCTTTGGCGATATCAGAAACCAAAGTTCTCTTTGGTGACAGTGGCGTCTGTATCTGTATCCTATCTAAGATGACGGTATGCAGAGGCGCCTCCCTTAATAGAACGACGCGCAAGTCTTTTGCGTACCTCCAAAGAAAAAGACGACTTGCATTGTAGAAATGGTGCAGATCACTGAAAAAACTGTGTTGGAATTATGCTTGCGTGCAGCAGCTAAGATATTACTACTTCCATTTCATATTATTATATAAATCGTTTTAACTTTTATATAAATTAAACATTTTTAGATTTAACTAAGTTTATAAAAAATATAGTATTTTTAACACAAAATAAAGAAACTATCAGAATATGTTCAAAGTTAGATGTAACGAAACTAAATTGGTACTATAAGTGTTATTATATTTTTCTACAAACTTTCGACTTAAAAATGTTAAAACGACTTATAATATGAAATAGAAGGAGTAGCACACATTCCTCTCCCTTTCACTCGTGCCCTTTTCATTAGCTACTACCAGGAACATGCCTGGATCATGGGATGGCATCTGCCTTGGCATTTTGATCACTAGCAGCTTCCGTTTATAAATTCATAATATCTTTGGTCATATGGTCCCCAGAGGCCAGATTTTCTTCATTCAGGATGACACACTACCCTACTTTATTAGCATGCAGAAAGTTAGATGACAAAACAAGGGTAGGAAACGAGGAGAATTTTACTCAAGGACTCCATATAGCAACTACAGATATCAATCTATTTCGTGACAGATTTTCCTTACCATAATTAACTGTTTGAGGTTTATCTAGCCAAATTTACGATCGTAATCTATAATTTGATTGATTTTTTTTTAAAAAATGATATGCAACATACACATGGTTGCTTTTAATCCAGACGAATTTGCCGAACGCTCATCCCCATCTTATAAACTAGATGAAACTTCGCGCCTTTCTATGATAGTTTTGTATGAAAATAGTAAAAAAAAAAAACAAACATGTAACATAGCTAGACGACATAACTTTGTAATATAGGTTGATCATTCAAATACAAAACTAATACGATGTGGTGCAATGAGAGAAGGAAAATAAGAAATATAATACAGATTAATCGTCCAAAGGCAAAATCAAAGTGATATGAATAGATAAGAGAAGAAAATGGCGGAAATAAATTGGATCATAGATCAATCATCCTAGGACTAAAAATAATTGAGATGATGTGGCTTAATGAGAAAAGAGAAAAATAGCATTAACTATATTTAGTGGTGATGAATTTTATAGATATATAGGATTTGGCTGGGGCAATTCTGCAGCCACCCCATTGAAAAGAGATAAAATTTTCGCCCTAGAGTCTAAGTTAGCAACCTTAACAGTATATTTTAAATTATCTAGATTTGTTTAATGAATATTGTATAATTACATTTTTCATTACATATGCTTTAGTAATATTGCAAATTTACTATGATGTCTTAATGTAAAGCTATGAAAAGCAATTATCAAAATCACTCATTAGAGGCAATAAAAAGGTTAGAAATACCAAGTAAAAAAAGAAAAGAGTACTGCACTTAGATACTTACAAGTTAGGAAAAAGTGCAAATACCCTCCTAAACTTTAGATAGAAGTCCGTCTAGCACCCTGAACTTTAAAACCGGATATCAAACCTCCTAAACTTCACAAAACCGTTCATATATTACCCTCTATGGTGTTTTTTACAGTGGTTTTTATCTAATTAGTATATAAATTGGATGAATTTGATCACGTGACATACACATCGAACATATATATTAAAATCTCCACCTAAATCTTTCTTTTTATCAACATAATAATAGTACGGTATCACTGTATAAGTATAAATTGATGGCTTACAGTTGATGATATGCAAATATATTATATTAGTTATTTAAAGTTGTTCGTTTAAGCTTTTAAAACATGCAAAACCACCATTCAAAACCACTTTAGGGGGGGTAATATGAACGTTTTTGCAAAGTTTAAGGGGTTGAATATCCGGTTTTAAAGTTTAAGGTGCTAGATGGACTTCCATCCAAAGTTTAGGGGGGTATTTGAACTTTTTCCTACAAGTTACAATGCTTCAAGGTGTGTGCAACATGTAAAAAAACAAACTTTGGTGCATAACTGGTCTCTCAGAATTATAATGATTTTACAGATGGATGAATAGAAGACTAACAATGCAAAATCCAACTAGTTAATGTGGAGGGAATAGGAGTTGACTGCTTATGTATGGAGTTGCTGTACAAATCCAAGGCAGCATTAACCAATGAGATAGGAAGGGGATGATGCGTTTGATTCAGCTTATTGCCTGAGTCGCCTCATTTGTTAATGCTGCCTCTCCGCCGCCTGCCTCGCCCGCCTCTCCGCCGCCGACCGCGCCATCCGCCGTCGTCCCGGCACAGCCGTACGTGCGCATGCCGAGAGAGAGAGAGGAAGAACGAGAGAGAGAAGAGAGAGAGGAAAAGGGGAAGAGGAGTATGATAGGTGGGTCCCATATTTTTTAATAAATAAAATGCTGACTGGATTGCCACGCGTACGCCACGTATGATAAAACCGCTCTGGATTGGGTCGAGGGGGGTAATTTGTCCAGTATTGAAAGTTTACGGGGGTAATTTAGTTGACCACGATAGTTCGAGGGGGAGTAATTCGTACTTTTTCCTTATAAAAACGATTTTGATGTTTCACTTGCGACAAATTTTTGAACCTCTATCTTTCAGTTTTTCGGTTGTAAAATCTTACATTAAGATTCATATTTATGTATATCCAACCTACATCTACACTAAGTAACATTAGATTTTACAACAACTTTTTATCTCTCTTTTAAAAAAAAATTAAGACGGGCTATATCTATTGGTTAAAATTTCTGCAAGATTTAAAACTATAAATATGTTGAAAGATGAATAGGTGCAGTCCCTTGTAATAAAAATGATGTAAAAAAAGCTTGTTTCCATTTTGTTGGGTAATGGAACCCAGGTACAATGGGAAAAAAATAATGAGAAAATAATAAAAAAAATCTCTCACCATCATCCTCTTCCTCTGTTTTATTAGCAGTAGCCAGTAGCTAGCTGAGCTGAGCCTGAGCTTATTATATTTCCCTCCACTTCGTCCTCTTCTTCCTCCTCCATCCCCATCCTCCATCGGATGCACTAGTAGCTGGCCTTGTACCCTACCTAGCTTAGCTACCCACCCATGTCCTCCTCCTCGTCTCCTCTCGCTGTCTGCCTTTGACTTGGAGACCTAGCTCGTCGATCGCCGGCCATGCGGGTGCAGTGCGACGTCTGCGCCGCCGAGCCGGCCGCGGTGCTCTGCTGCGCCGACGAGGCCGCGCTCTGCTCCGCCTGCGACCGCCGCGTCCACCGCGCCAACCGCCTCGCCAGCAAGCACCGCCGCCTCCCGCTCGTCCACCCGTCCTCCTCCTCCTCCGGCGACGGTGGCGCCGCCGCCGCGCCGCTGTGCGACGTGTGCAGGGAGAAGAGGGGCCTCGTGTTCTGCGTCGAGGACCGCGCCATCCTGTGCGCCGACTGCGACGAGCCCATCCACTCCGCCAACGACCTCACCGCCAAGCACACCCGCTTCCTCCTCGTCGGCGCCAAGCTCTCCCCCGCCGCGCTCGCCGAACAGCCGCTCCCGTCCTCCGACTGCAGCTCCGACGACGACGCCGCCGCCGCCGCCACCGAGGAGGAGTACCACTCCTCCGCCGCATCCACCGGCGCCGCAGTGAGCGCGCCTCTTGACGCCTCCAGCAACGGCGCCGGTGGCGGAGGAGGAGTAGGAGGGAGCAGCATCTCCGACTACCTCACCACCATCTGCCCCGGCTGGCGCGTCGAGGACCTCCTCCCCGACGACGACGCCTTCGCCGCCGCCGCCGCGGTGAGTACTACCAACCCATCGCTCCGCCGTGTTCTTGCTACGTCTCCATCGATGAAGCCGAGACTAACCTACGATTCCTTGGAGCAGCAGGCGGGGAAAGAGAAGGACGAGCGCGTGCCGTTCCTCGACGCCGACCTGTTCGACGTGGTCGCCGGCCGGCCGGAGAAGAAGGGCGGCGCGTGGGCGCCGCACGTGCCGCACCTGCCGGCGTGGTGCCTCGACGAGGTGCCGGTCGTCGTCGCCGCGTCGGCGGCGCCAGCGGCGACACCTGTAAAGGCGAAGCAGGGACACGTGCGGGACAGCCACTGGAGCGACAGCGACGCGTTCGCCGTGCCGGAGTTCTCGCCGCCGCCGCCGCCGGCCAAGAGGGCGCGGCCCAGCTCGCAGTTCTGGTGCTTCTGAACGCCGCCGCCGCCGTACAATCTGGCCGCCGGCGAGCTCGACGAACACCTCGATGGATCGATCGAACACCTGTGTAATCACTCAGCTGGTCACTACTACAAGTAGCAATCAGCAAGCTTGATGTGCCACTGTTACTAGCTGCTGCTGTTTAATTAGTGAGTACTAAGCTACTACTAGTTAATTTTGGTGAAAACTATGCTACTTTGTTACTATATAATGAAGTATGTGTATCAAACTAAACTGAGATGTTGGTAATTAATTATCGTATTTTGTAATGTTTCATCTTCTTTAGTTTCTTCATCTAAGATCAACAAGCTAGCTAGTCTTAGTCAACCCATACTACAACATAGATCTGAAGAGAAAAAGAAAATGATATATAATTAACCAGGGGAGCTAATTAAATTGTGGTGGTTGTAAGAAAATAGTGCTGTATACTTGTTTGCAGTGCAAGCTTGAAACTTTGTACTAATTGATGTTAATTTGTGTTAATTAGTCCGGCTCAGAAAGTCAAATCACGCTTTTGATCTTGCATGACTTGTAGTGTTATCACAAGCTATTAGCCCTATGATTCATGTGCGAAAATATCATGTTAGTACTAAGCTACTAGTGTTATCACAATGTGTACTAAGCTAGTACTAGTTAATTTTGGTGAACCTATGCTACTTTGTTACTATGTAAGGCTGTGTTTGGAGGAGGGGGTTGGGAAACGAAGTTTGTTTTATTGCATGATTAATTAAGTATTAATTATTTTTTTTAAAAAAATGAATTAATATGATTTTTTTAAACAACTTTCATATAGAAAGTTTTTACATAAATCATACCGTTTAGCAGTTTGAAAAGCGTGCGCGCGGAAAACGATAGAGGTGGGTTGGGAAAATAGGGGGAAGAACACAGCCTAAGAGCAAGTTCAATAGTATAACCCACTACAAGCTCCAATTCATCTATATCCAATCTAATAGCCAATTTATACAATAGTTGCTTACTATACTATTAATATATGGTCCCACCTGTCATACACACACTGTGTCTTGGAGTCCGTGCTGCAGCTGGCTACAGATCTGTAGCCCGCTGCTCTTCTCTCTCATCTTTTATCTTATTAAAATATGTTTATAGCTGGCTAATAACTGCTATTGCACCTGCTCTAAGTGTGTATCAAACTGAACTGAGATGTTGTTAAATATCGTATTTCGTAATGTTTCATCTTCTTAATTTCTTCATCTAAGATCAACAAGTGAACCCATACTACAACATAATGCAGATGAGATCTGAAGAGAAAAGGAAAATGAAGTATATAATTAACCAGGGGAGCTAATTACATTGTGGTAGTTGGAGCAAGATTGCTGTCTACTACTTGTTTGCAGTGCAAGCTTGGAACTTTGTACTAATTGATGTTAATTTGTGTTAATTAGTCCGGCTCAGAAAGTCAAATCATGCATGCTTTTGATCTTGGATGATTCATGTGCGAAAATATTATGATAGCACTAGCTATGGCATGCAAGTTCTAACCTAGATATGGCCTAATTGGTCTTAAAATAAACTAATCTCGTACTAGAATATAGCACATTCTATTATAATAAATTTCGACATACTCCATATCTATCTAGATTCATTATATTAGAATATGTCGGTATATTATAGTATGAGATAGGCTTATTTTGGGATGGAGGAAGTACCTATCAGATTCATGGATATGGTCCAAACCCTAATACTCTCTTAATTAATTTGAGTTAGTTTCAGTGTGTGCACTCATTCATTGCTGTACAGCTTTCGACTTATTATTGGTCAACCAAAGCCACCAGTAAGATGAACAACAACATCAGTGTAGTTGACATAGTACGATGACTTCTTAATTTTCTTGCAAGCTGCTTATTAATCTTGCTCATACTGTAAACACATTGGGGATTAGTTGATAATTTGCTATCAGCATACAAATTGGGACTAACAGCATGTGTTTTTTAGAGTTTCTGTGTATGGATATATACAAAGGCCAGTTGCATAATAGTACTCGCTATGTCCTTTTTCGAGTTACTTGACCCTTTTTTTCTGGTCATGGCTGAAGTTTACACCCCAACAGCCAATCCGTGCTGACGAGGATGTGTTATAACTTTTTTTAAAAGCAATTTTAACTACAATGCTATAGACTATAGTATATATTAAAAAAAATCTACGCTAACTCATCAAATTTACAATATTTTCAATTAATGTGATAATTTCTAGGCTTCAATAATTACTACTAGTACGTAATAAATGGACATGTTAAAAATAGCTTTGTTGAACATAGCACGCATGTTAAGGGGAATGAAAAAACGGAGGAATAGGAAAAACATAGGATTATGGCAGGAATGTAAGTGTAAAACAGAGGATTGCGAAACACAGGAAAAACACAGGAATGATGGTTTGATTGGACCACAGGAAAAACACAGGAATCGGATGAGAGAGATAGACTCAGAGAATTTTTACCAAGAGGTTGGACCTCTTGTTAAGTTTCCTCCAAAACCTATATGCAATAAGCCATTCCATAGGAATTTTATAGGAATAGAAAAAGTTTAATCCTTTGAATCAAAGGGCTAGATAGAAAAATTTCCTACAAGATTTCAATCCTCCTATGAAATTCCTTTGTAATTCCTTTCTACAATACTCCAATCTAGTTGATGCCGTGATAAGTCCAACTCCAACTTTGAGAATTAATCCCAAACAGTTTGGGTCTCTTTCCACGAAAGATTTCATAATATTTTCGCCGTCTGTCCATGTGTACGGGCCCGGGTTTAGTTTGATAATTACGCCCATGATCATGATGTGGAGAGAGATCATCACTCGCATTAGATCCCGAGCCAAAACCAAATCAACCAAACAAAACCCCATCAAAAAAAAAATCAAATCGCTGCTGCTAATTACAATGATCAGTGTCGATCGATCACATGGCGCCGCCGTGCGAAGGTGGCAAAGCTTGAAATCCGCTTTCGCCGCCGCCGCCGCCGCCGCCGCCGCCGTGGTGGCTCGCCGGATTGGTTGGGAATCCCGGCGACATGGACCTGCCAACGTGTTAAGGTTGGCGCACGTCGCCGCCGGCCGGCCGGCCGGCGGGGACCAGGAGCGGTATGGAGGGGAGGGTGGCGCGGGGGATTAATTATGGCGACGCGCGCTGTGCCCATCCGTGCCACGATCCATCGAGGCGATGGTCCACCACCCTCTCGATCGCCACCTTCGTCTCCGGCGAGGCAATGGCACCGAAGTCGCTGTCGCGTCACGTGAAGATTTTTTTTTTAGTACTCGTATTATTGGTACCACAAAGGAGTAGAGCAAGTATGACAGTATAGCCCACTGCTATCTCTAATTTATCTATAGCCAATCTAATAGCCAATTCATATAATAATTGCTTACTATACTATTAGTATATGGTCCCACCTGTCATACACACATTTTGTCTTGGAGTCTGTGCTGCAGCTGGCTATAGATTTGTAGCCCACTGCTCTTCTCTCTCATCTTTTATCTCATTAAAATATATTTGTACCTGGCTAATAGTCTGCTATTGTACCTGCTCTAATGATATAATATATGCTATCTTTGTTTGTTTAAGTAAATTTTATGATTATATTAAGAGCAATTCTACGGTCCTTGAGTAGGTAACATGAGGTACCAAAAATTTAGCGTAAAATTTGGTACCTCATGGTACCTTATAGTACCTAGGTATCAAGAGGTACCAAATTTACAATAGAAAAAATGGTACCTCATGGTACCTCCTCAAGAACCGTAAAATTGCTCATATATTAACCTTTGAACATGCTTTTTTAACATTTATTTTATTAAAAGTTTTGTGCGAATATATAAGATATAAATCCTATTTAAATATTTTTGATGATAAAACATGTTCTAGGAAAATAAATAATACTCCGTATTTATATATTGTTTTATTTTTTTTGGTATAATAATGTTCAAATGTATATAAGTCAATAACATCGTATATTTCAATGGCAATTGTAAATTTACCACTGGTTTAAATTATTATTGTAATATTACCATTCAAAAATTGTAATAAAATACCATTAGAATTGTTATTTAAGTGGCATTCTTGAACATTTGAGACAATTTGCAAATGCTCTTTTACTTTAAAATGGAGGTATGGAAGCATGAAGGTGTACATGCATGGGATGGGATTGGAGGGCGGTGAGCGTGTATTTAGGCTGAGACAATACGGCATGGGCTTGTCAAATGGACCATGTTTTCTAGAGAGATTGAGATGCTTCAGAATACATTGCAAGAAAGCGGAGCATACAAGATAGCTGCCATCACATTTTGGATCATTACCTCAGTTTTGCATGTGAGCCGGTATTCACTTGGAATTTTGATATTCCAGTCAGAATTGAACTGTTTTGATGTGAAAGTTGTTGACTCTGTGAAGAGGGCAGAAACTATGATGGGAAATTATGCAAGATGTACGTTTACTACTTCATCTATTCTAAAATATAGCTATTTCTAGCACAGTAATTTATCCTAAAATAATCATAATCATTCTCTTTGCTCTCAACCAATCATAATCATTCTCCACTTAATCACCTCACATATTTTCTCTTCTTTACTAATCACAAAATTTCTTAAATCATTTTTACTAGTTTTCTTAATACACGTGTCCACCTCAAAAATCCCTATATTCTTGGACAGAGGTACTGAGATACTCCCTCCATCATATTTTAAGTGCAGCCATGATTTTCCGTACACAACTTTAATTGTCTATCTTACTTAAAATTTTTTTTAAAAAATAAAAATATAAGTTATATATAAAATATTATTCATGTTTTATCTTCTCTTAACAATAAAAATACTAATTATAAACCAAATTCAAATAAAACGGACAATCAAAAATAAGCACGAAAACTTATGGTTACATTTAAAATGGGACGGAGCAGTAACATGTGCTTTTTTTTCCCTGTCAAAGTTAGCGCCAACAGATCAGTTATTGTTTTTGGTTCTAGTGACTGCAAGCAGCAAGGAGCACTCCAAGAATGAAGAATGGAGTACTTTTTGGCATGAACACATAAGATCTGGGGACGTTTTACTGTAGAGAGAGGGATGGAATTTTTAGGAGAGGAGAGGATGAATGTCAGCGTCAGGGTTCAGGTGGCTTGCGACCGCAACTGTTCCTTCCAAGTGCCTTTCAGCAAATCAGCCTCAGCGCCGATGGTTGGTTCCACGACTTTCAGCCACAACTTGCGCCCACGTGCTAGCAACCGCAACATCTACAGTTACAGTGTTACGCCCAGGTCTCTATCTAATCTACTCCTATCTAACAAAATATTTTCTTTTCCCACAGTACTTTTGGGATGGAATATTTTAGATAAGAATAGCAGAAGTAGCAAGCATAAAGTCTACTAAAATACTCGCAATTATGTAAAATAATATTCTGTCAATGAAATAGACAACAGAATATGCCACCAAACAGCAATTACCGAGCAGTAGTAGCAGTCTCTAAATCAGTTTTAATCAGCACTTTATATTCTTTGCAACCTACGGTTCTCGATGCCGCTGGCTCATCGAGTGCAATAGATTGTAGTACGAGGAATAGGTGCAAGGTGAAGCCAAAATGGTACTATCAACGGACGCATCCAACAGCAGGAAAAGGCAAGCAACACATGAGAAAACACTTTTCCAGAGTATGCAGGGAAAGGTAACAGCTAGTGTTCCCTCAGCTAATAACTGGATTAGATTCCCATTGCGTGTTAAGGTGACAAGTGGGCTCCCACTGTCTCACAGACAAAGGAAGCATATGTTGACCAAATATCAGAAGCTCCAACAAACACAAAGGTAAAAGAATCATTTTTGGTTGCTGCATTTCTCCTGCGGGTCGATCTATTTTTACAAGTTTTGAGGAACCACCTCTTTTCTCCTCCCTAATAGGATGATGGTACAACATTTCCCCTGACCACGTTTTGTCCCCTCCAAAAAAACTAGGAACAGAATCACAACCTATCCTCTTTCTTGCAGTTTCCATGGATGAATGGGTAAAGGAAAGAACGTATCTGTGCTTCACATCACAATGCGGAGCACGGCGAGTCCAACAGCTGATATCGAAACAATGGTACCTATGCAGTACTTGATGACATCATACTTTGCTGCCTCGAGCTGGGCTTTCAGTGAGTGAATTTCCTGCCAACAGTAGCAAATCAGACAAACCCTGTTAATGCCCGACAGTGAGATAACAGAGCCCACACATGAAGGCCACTTTACTCACCTTGTCTAGCTTTGTGGTGAGTTCTGTAGTTTCCTCATTCTGCTTGGCGAGTTCATCACGGATGCGCCTGGAATGAAAGTGTTTTAGTCAGATAATATGCAACCGCAGGTTTATTCATTCTGGCAGATAAATGACAAAAACAAAATCGACCATAGCACACATTAAATGCACACTATGACACTACCATGTTTCAATTTAGAAAGTTTTAAGGAGGGTACGTAATCAATGCTTCAAAAAATAATCATACGCAATTTTATCTTAAAATATCATACATGCAGGGAGGACTGAGGATGGATGCAATAATTCTCATGGTAGCAATAGAACCTAGATAGTGTCATCCCCTGTCATAATTTCAACAGGTGCAGTAAGATGCAAAAGATCAAAGGTTTCATGTAATCGGCATCCTTTTTTACTTGAATCTACATCCTTTTCATTGGAGTATTTTCTTAATAGAAATTTACAAGCATCACAATAAAAAATAGAAGAAACTTAATGCAGCAAATTGATACAACTGGAAGATTTTTCTGCAAAAAGTTAAGACTTAAGAGCATTATTTTGTTATGCACAGATTGAGAAAGTACTTTATTAGAGCAGATAAGCAGTCCATGTTGAAGGCCCACTGATAAAGACCACATACAAAGATCATGGCCATCAGTCACAGAGCTTTTGATTAAAGCAAACACGCTAACCATTAATTCTCTATTTCCTTTCTCTTACAAAGTCTAAGGTTGGAATGCACTCTGAAGTTTCTGGTCAGCTATCAAGCAGCAATTGAATGATACATTCATGATCAGGTAGTACACATAAACAGCAACATAAATCTTACCCTCTTTCAAGGTTTAGATCCAGCCGCTGACCTGCAGTGACCTTGTCAATCTCATACCTGTTTCACACAAAATGAAGAACAAGAGAATCAGACCAAGTGTGCTAGTTCACATTACTGTTACAAAAATCTCATAGGTTTAATACCGACTTCAGTTCACTCCTCATCTTATCAATATCTCCACGGAGTTTCTCAGTCTCACGCTGCAACAAAGAGAAATGGTTTTCCTGCAGACAAAAGGTCCATTTCAGCAAATAGTAAGCACTCTACATATTTTTCCAACACTGTCTAGATAGATAAGTACTGGAAACACATTTCCCCAACAATCTGTAGAGAGAGAAGTACATGAACAGGACAGAGGAATCAAGATTCAAGAAAGAAGTTGCAAATACTAACGTATCATCAAAGCAATAAGAGCACAACTGAATCCATGAAAACACAGTGCACAGAGAATTGACATGAAAAATCAGAAGTATGAAAGTATCAGTTGAATGGCTTGGATTTTCAAGTTGAAACCTATACCCCCAAAGTTCTCTAATAAAGTAACAAGACATCACACTTGGTTCTCCAAACTTAATATGGATAACTCAATGCAAATGGTGACAGGTGGCTGAAACAACAAAGGCCAATACTAGCTCCATAGGATTGTTAATGGACACAATATTAATAGCCATCCTGTGCATGTCAAGGTTTCAAGTTAGAAACTACTATCCTAATTAATCTCTGTAAGATTGCAGTATAAGATGAATAAGGTGCCATTGGGATGAAAAAAAGCTTGTGTCCAACCAACGAGCACCATCAAGGAGACAACTAAAACTTCATGACAAACAAAAAATAGAAGCTAATAAATATATGAAAACAACATTAAGGTGAATCTTCATTAGTGAAATATCTTTGCTTAAATATTTGTTAGTAGTTACCTTAGAGCTATTTGAAGAACCCAGTAAACAAGTATACAAAATAAATGTGGATAACAGCCAAGATTTCCCTTCTGTACAGAAAAGATAACCCCATAGATTGCATGCATGATCAAATGCAGGCTGAGTATATGATGCAACAACAAAACACAATGTTGAAACTTATACTTGAAATATATGAAAAAGGTTTAAAAGGCATATACTCATATAAACTGAGCCTGAGAGAAATGCAGTCCTTTATAGCAGGTTGCAGACAAACATTTCAGGTGTACAAAGCATTAGAGCTAATATGAGAACAGGTCCAGTAACTGATACTACAAGATAAGTAACAAGCCTACTAAGCCTGAGACTAAAATGACTTGGTGTGATGCCTCAACATGTTCCAAGCGAAGCTCTAGTTTCTAGAATAACCTGTTAATCTTATCTAGCTTCAAAATGTAAGATCAGTTTAATATGAATATACACATAAACAAAATTGTGAAGATATGCATAATACATATCCTCCAAAGGACAGGACAGGAAGCAGTATCACATTATCAGATTGGCAACTTCCATAATAATAGGAACCCAATTATTACCAATGGCAGTGACATTTAAGAGATTTCCAGATAGAATGGCACTTTTTAGGGCAATCTGAAATCTATACATGTCGGCTGTCGCTATTAAGATGAGAGAGCAAGAATGGTAGGCAAAATGGCCACCAAAACCTCCAAATCTCATCCCAACAGATGTATTCCAACATAGCAACAGCCCAAAGTGGAGCCTAAATGTGATTTTCACAATCCACCATTGCAAAATGAGGCAATGCAAAACAATCCACGGTGAAAACAATGCTAAGTGGAACTTGTGAAATCTATCTAATCATGTTCAACGAACGGATTGCAAAATTCACCCACAATAACAACTAGAAGCATCAGCATATGCATCCTATTTGTGCGTGCTAACAGTTTGCTTCAGATAATACCTGCGAGCTCTGCACTTGCGACTTGAACTTGGAGATATTGGACTCCTGCAGCATCTCAGCCTGCATGGAAAAGCAAAACCACCCATTAACCAACCGTGGGAGCAAATAACCTAGCCGTACGGTCCAAAAAAAAAATGGCGTTACCTTCTGCATCTCGGCCTTGGAGACGAAGGACTCGGAGATGCTCTCGAGGCTGTCGTTGAGGACCTCCGTGATCGCGGAGGTGATCGCCTCCGCCTGCTTCGTGGGCACGCCCTGCGACTCCAGCTTCCTCACCTGCGATGCAACGATCACCAAACGGAAATAAGCACACAACCCCATCATTTCTCACGCGCGCATTCCGTCGAACACCTCTCAACACAACTCCCCCCCACCCAAAAAAAAAAAATCCCAACGACCCAGCATTTCTCGCGTGCGCATTCCGTCGAACACCTCTCGAACACAAAATCCGAGCCGCATTGGGCACGCAAGCGCAACAAACCGGCGGGTGGAGGCACGTTACCAGGGCGAGGGTGTCGACGAGGAAGGCGCGGCGGCCGTTGGTCTTGACGAGCTGCGAGATGCTCCGCGCGGGGCCAACCCACCGGTGCGCCTGCCACAGCTGCTGCTGCAGCTGCTGCAGGAGCAGCCCGCGCCTGCACGCGACAGCCGCTGCGGCCATCTCCTCCTCCTACTCCTCCCCCACAAGCCGGTGCGGAGGGGACGCCGAGGAAGGGAAGGGAAGGGGGAAGGGGGGGAAGCGAGGCGGAGGAGGAGGAGGCGGCGGTGGATTTGGCTTGAGGTCGGTGGCGGTGGTGGGGATTGGCGGAGGGAGGCGGGTGCTAATTTTGGGAAAGGTGAGGAGAGGAGAGGAGGATGGAGGAGAGGGGGCTATCAATTCGAGGCTTGCGGAGGAAGAAGAAGCGGCCGCCGGCCAGGGGGGAAAGGTTGGTTGGTGAGTTTGAGAAGAAATGTTTTTCTTTTTCTTTTTTTTATTTTGGGAAAATGAATTGTTAAAATTAGGCCTCGTTTAGTTCCTAAATTTTTTTCTAAAAGAATGACACATGCATAGAGCATTAAATATAGATTAAAAAATTAATTGCACAGTTTGACGAATTATTTTAGCCAAATTAGTCCATGATTAGATATAAGTGATATAGTAACTCACATGTGCTAATGATAGATTAATTATGCTTAATAAATCCGTCACACGATTTCCGGGCGAGTTATAAAATTAGTTTTTTCATTCGTGTTCGAAAAGCCCTTCCGATATCTGCTCTAACTTCTAAAGTGACACCCAAAATTTTTCTTTTCACGGACTAAACACACCCTTAGTTAATTTTGTGGTGTTTGATTTGTCTTTCTTGCTACCATTCTTTACATTTCTGGATTTTATTGGGATTTTGGAATACGGTTTGTTCAAGGAACGCGGTTGAATGGTAAAGATTAGTATTAATCGATTTATTTTTTGGTAAGCATGTCTCCAACGTGAGTAGTACTATAGTATACGAATCACGTGCCAAATTTTTTGTTCAATGAAGTTACGGATTCTGTCTAAAAATTGCGAAACCGAAACGTGATGGTGCGGTTGCTTTTCCCGTGGGTTTCGGAGAAGGCAAGGGGCATCCCAGCCTGGTCCGCGTTGGACCAGACCAACGACCCTCTTCTCGTCACGGTCAGGTCGATTCGGTCGGTTTGGACTAGACCCAGCCAGCGACGCGACGCGGTTAAGCACGCATGTCCAACGTGCTCGAGGCGAATCCCCAACGCATGTCCAACGCGTGTCTACGCGCGACCCTAGCGCTTGGGAACGACCAGCTGCCCAAATCTAGCTCAGTTTTAGCTCTGGATTGGGCTTGGGAAATCAAGAGCCTTCATGTTGCTAGGAATTCTTTTCTGGGCCTATTCCCTTGTAAACACGGATTATTTTGGGCCTCTTAGCCACATGCAGGATTGTTTTTTTTTTCAAATTACATTTTGAATTTATAAGTATAAACTTTGTATGTGTAAAGTTAGAAGTTGTTTAGATTGTAGTCAAAATAAACCTTATCAAAATTTGGCAATTTGATAATATTGTTAAATTTTGGCAGGATTTCTTATGTATTTATCAAAGTTTGGTAAAAGCCTAAATGGATGCACATTTTTGACAACTTTAACAAAAACTGGTATGGTTTAAAATAATCTCAATCTGAACAACCCTTAAACTTTATATGCATAAGTACATAGTTGTCCAATTTTGTGCGTAACCTATGTACACGTACTATTTTGTATGTGCACATACAAACTTTATATGTATACATATATTTTTTATATATATATATATACAAAGATTTTTATATGTGTACATATAAACTTTATGATATCTATTTGACATTATAGATGTAATATACTATTTCTCTATAAACTTAGTTAAAGTTGGAGAAGTTCGATTTAAGATAAAATCTAAAACATAGAGACTATCTGGCAAGAAACATGTAACAAAGGCAAATCAAAACTTTGAACAGATGATCGACCTGTGAATTTTAGAAGGAAATGATGGTTGTGTTTAGATTCAAACTTTGGATCCAAACTTCCAACTTTTTCCATCACATCAACCTGTCATACACACACAATTTTTCAGTCACATCGTACCAATTTCAACCAAACTTCCAACTTTGAAAGAAAAACACAGCCGAACCCAGTGAATTTGTGTAGTGAATTTGCACAAATGAAAATGCAATGACCTAATGTGGCAATTAAAATCATCTCTTTGCTAGGTCATTACCCCTCTTAATAGTACGGCGAGACTAAAATTAAACTAGCAAATTTGATCGCCCTACACCTCGATCAATTCTAAATTAAAACGCTAGTTTTACCGTCTTCTTTCCCTTTGCTTTGCGCCGTCAATTTTAATCCATCGATAATCATCCATGCGCACAGATGACGTGGACCTAACTTAAAATGTATAGCTCAAAGACAACGGTTAGTCCACAATTAGTGCTTGTCATTAATTACCAAAATTAACACCGGGGGCCTAGATGCTTCAATCTCCCCCTTTTTGGTAATTGATGACAAACACCACAAATATGTATAATCAAACATAGAGCACATGGACATATATTGTATTGACAAGCAAAAACTCCCCCTAAACATATGCATAACAATCACAAATAGCAAATATGGAGCCAATGCACAATTCAATTTCACATTTCAACATATCACAAACACAAGAGCAATATCTCAATGTGAACTTCAAGAAATATTCATTCATGAGCATAAGATGGTCACAAATATATCAATGTCACACCAACCATCCATCATAGCACAAGTTCACATTAAGACCACATAAAGGGCTCACAAATAAATATAGGCTATTACAAGACCACGAAGGGTCCAAATGACATAGAGAACAACAAAACGAAAAAGGAACACATAATATAGAGTAATAGCCCATACCCATACCAAATATAGCCCAATCCTCCTTAACCTATTAAATATGAGGTGACTAACCTCACTACTACTAGTCCCAACCCACAAAACATAAAACACACTATTCTCCCCCTTTTGGCATCAAGCTCCAAAAAGGTCTTCACTCTTGTGGAGGAGAAGGAGGACGCGCCGAAGTGGAAGGATGAGAAGCATCACGGCGGCGATGATAGACAAAAGCTTGGGTACTCTCCAAGGTTTGGACGCGAGAATCCAATACACCCACCCTAGTATGCAATCTTCCCACCGAAGTATTCAAGTTGCCAACATCGGTGCGCAAGCCACGAACATCCTCATGTAATGCTTCATGCCCGGTGGATAAGCGTTGAATGCTTTCACTTAGGGTATTAATAGCCCCAAGTACCGGGTTGAAGTACTCGTTGGGTTGCATTCCAAAGTAAGCATATTGTGGATGGAAAAACGCACTTGGATCATACCCATGAGGAGGAGGAGGAGGGGCTGCACTTGAGCTTGCACCTTGATCAAAAGTTGGTTGGCGCACACGAGGAGCTCTAGGGGAGGAGAGTTGGAGACGAGGCTTGTACTCCTTATGTTCTTTTAAATTGTGACCAATTTGTCCCAACTTGCTTTGAATCAACCTCATTATGTAGGGAGCATAATAGATTCCTTGTCCAATAGTCCCCTTTGAGATGGCAATCTCCTTCATCATAAGGTTGATAACATCAAACCGACGACCATCCATAATGGCATCAATAACATGCCAAGCAACTCCGCGTATGTCATCATTGTTGCTGCATCTTGGGAGGATGGTGGCCCTTACTATGCGGTTGATCACACTTGGGAGAGCCCTCAAACCCGCCACCTTTCCATATGTGTGCCTTCCCCCTTCTTCATAAAACTAAGAAAAGTGATCAATGGGGAAGGGGTTGTGGGTGTGCTCATCATGAAGGTCATCCCCGCTGTTGAAGCGAATGTGCAAGAGCTCCTTGAATTCACGGCGGTTGATAGAGCATCGGAGGGTCCCCGACATCCACTTCATTGCATCACAATCGCCGGACACCCATACGGTGGCATAGAATTGCCGGATGAGATCTTCATCAAAAGGTTGCTTCATGGTGACAATTCTATCAATCCCAACGGTCTGGAACATCTCTTGCAAATTCTCAAACTCCGGTGTCTCACCAATGTGCCTCCAAGAAATCCACTTGTGTTCGGCGAAGGCTTTGTTGGCATACACTTGTTCATACACGGACTTTTGGAACCGTGTATGAAATCTTGGATCATTACAATCGTTAGGCCTCCGGAATTGATCATGATGACGGAGGATAGTGTATTGTTGAGCATTCCTCAAATTTAGCACAAATTGGATGGTGGAATCGAGAGGACTCCCATCATCACTTGCCTCATCATCTTCACTATTGCCACTCCCATTGTCATCACCATCATCACTTACATCCATCTCATTTCCCTCAACATTTTCCATATTGTCCTCATCACTTTGAACATACTCATCTCCGCTTGATTCCTCATTCTCACTAACGGGATCGGGCGTGGGCTCACGACGACCATGGCGAGTGCGGGGAGGCATAGCTGAAAAACATGGAGCAAAGGATGGATAAGCAATAATTTTAGAAGCCACATAGTGAAGTGGAAGAAGGGCGAGTGCTGCCTGTCAGGGGCGGTCAGACCGAGAGCCACGGCCGGTCAGACCGACGGCTCAAGGCCGGTCAGACCGACGCCCTATGTCGGTCAGACCGACGGCCCACGGCCGGTCAGACCGCCGGCCCTCGGCCGGTCAGACCAACGGCCCACGGCCAGTCAGACCGCGTCCGGTCAGACCGCCACTGACACGAGCACACCCAAATCCTTCCACAATCCACACAAATGATTCTAAAAATTGCTAGAACAGTGTTGCACAAGATTGGAACTAGAACATCAAGGTGTAGGTCTATTGAAGCAATGGGGAAACTACCCTTAACCCTAAAGATTGAAATAGACCGGTTTGAGAGCAATGCACAAGAGGGAGAGGGATTTACCGGTTGAAGGAGTTGAATCACACCAAGAAACTACCCTCTATTGGTGCAAATCGATGAACACCTCTTCCTTCACCTAGGGTTCCATGCCATGGATCACAAACTCAATAAGAACTCAAATGAATCCATGGAATAGAGAGAGGAAGAGGAGGAGATTCACTTACGGTGTAACCGGAGTGATTTTGACGGTTGAACCGGATGGATTTGGTGGAGGGAGGTGGCTAGGGTTTGGGAGAGGAGAGAGGAGGAGTTTTTTCGAGTTGGAGAAGAGAAGAGATGAGATGGGATGAGGAGGGGTCGGGTAGAAGGAGGAGGAGGAAGAAAGGACAAAGTCCTAGGCCCACCAACCCCGACCGGTCAGACCGGCTTTACGCGGCCGGTCAGACCGCCGGGTTGCCGCCGGTCAGACTGTGCCCTAGTGGCCGGTCAGACCGCAGCTACCAGGCCGGTCAGACCGCGCATATAGCGCCGGTCAG